CATGCATTGTTGCGGCGGTTGATATGAATTCGGCTCCACGCTAGCGTTACGAGCAAGATACCTATAAGAAACAGGTAGATCCGATGTTTGAAAGTAAAGCCCCAGTCACAAATTTGACGCACCTGTGACATTTCCTGACACCCACGTGACTATTGTATTAACTTTTGTGTTTTGCGATGTTTTGACCTTATTTAAAGTACTGAAAGCTCAAAATGTATGATTAATGTTGTTTAAAGCAGCATATTAATAATTATGTTTGTAAATTATCGATAAGCTGCTTATGGCAGGTCACGTGATTGCTACCAGATTATGTGCTCAGAAAGCATCTTTTCAACTTCGATTTTGAACAATTTTTACCTCCTTTGAGGCCAAATGATGGACAGTTTGAGGCACACGATGAAATGCTGAATCTATTGATGCCAAAATTTGTTCGTTTTTTGCATTTTTAGACTACTATATCCTGGCTCAAACTTTGACCAGTTTGTGTGTAAACCCTATGGTGAAGGGAAAACTTCACGCCCAGCAGGCGACATTACAGTGCTGCCAAATCGTGTTTGGTGGGGGTCGGTTACGAGCTTCCGAGTCTGTTGATGTTTCCATGGAAATTGGAAACCCAATGCACCGGTGCGCGCAACGCAAAATTTTAGTCCTTGCAAAATTTTACCATCGATGACCTCTGGTGACATGATCTTTTGCTCTGACCCGATCTAAAATTGGCTGAAGTAGGTTTTCTTCTTTTTGCTACTTTTGACGCTACTTCGAATACCACTTAAATGCCCAAAGCTGAGTTATAAGAATGATGCTCAATCCCCATTTCCCCTCCAACAGGGCGTGAGAGTCTTGGCATTCCTGTGGGGCACGGGCTAACAATGACTATCTCATAATCATTGTGGCCATGAACATCTACTGTCATTCTTTAACACCGGTTTCGCTGCGCTGAGCGGTGGCCGTCCCGTTTGTTGGATTCTACAGCTGGCAGGCGGAAAGCGTTATCGGCCGCCCGTCCACCGCCCGCGGGCCGGACCGAGCGGTCTCGCTGACCCTACCTGACCCATGAGCCCGGCGCGATATGGGACGGGCAGACGGGGGTTCGGCTCAGCGAAGGCAGCGCCCACTGGTGCTGGGGACTTTTTTAATAGACCTACTGTACATACGTACGCAGTTAGCGTCACACGGAAAGATGAAGTGAGAGTTTTAATACCGTCTCCCTATAGGACGTTATACGTCACACTTTCGATGGAAACTCATGCCCGCTACCGATTAACAGGCCGAGGATGGTGTGATCGGACGATTGGCCAATCCTTGATGTTTCACACTAAGCGATGACCTCTTTTTAGCAATGCCTGGACACCCCAGTCCCTAACTAAAGCTGATAAAAACACTTGAACAATGCTTCTACCCGGATTTATATAAGTTTCATTCGAAGTTCCATCACTGAGAGGTGGAAAGCAGGCATAGATTCAGCCGGGAAATAAGAGTGCTTTATCATATAATTCTCACTGTCATCACTAAGCTCATAAGTAAGATAATACGGACAGAGCTATTGATTTCAGAATTTAGATAGTCAAATAAGCACGTCACCTGCTAACCGTTGATGAAGCTTGCAGCTTCAATCAACGTCTTACAGCTAAATGGTTAATTCTTGGGACGTCAGTTTGGTGTTCTGTAATGTCATTCTCAACTCTATTTGCCGTTTAGGAGTGTTCGGGGTGCTCCTGATGATGCACTGTCTTCTGAGTCATGGCTTCGGGAATCACTGGGGGTGTTTTTGGCATCACGTACTGACCTCTGCTCCGTCCGTTTCAGGGGGTGAGCCTGCAGTCGGTAGCGGACGAGCTGAGTCTGCAGCTGAAGGACACCAAGGAGGACATCTCGTCCCAGCTACAGGACACGCGCGACACCGTCCAGACCAAGGTGGCCGAGATGACGGAGGCGATGCGCCAGCAGGGCGGCCAGTGCACCTGCGTGGAGCAGCTTCGCGCGCTGCAGCAGGACGTGCAGCGCCAGTACGACGCGCTGCTCAAGTCGGTGGTCGATATCGCCGAGATCACGATCGGCACGCAGCAGACGGTGCGGCAGCATCTCAACAACATCACGGCCACGGTGGCCGCGCTGGGCCGCAACATGACGACCATGGTGCGCGGCGCGGCCGCCCCGCCGGCTGACCCGGACATGCGGCTGGCGCTGCTGAGCGACTCGTTCGCGCGCTACGCGAACCGCTCTCGGCGACAGCTGGCGGCGCTGACGGCCGGCCAGGAGCGCAGCGCGGCCCTGCTCAGCATGGTGGCCAACCAGTCGCAGGCGGCCGCGCGGCTGCCCTGCGCCGGCCCGGCGCGCGACTGCGCCGACCTGCGCCGCCAGGGCTTCACGGCCAGCGGCGTGTACGCCATCCGTCCGGACCTGGGCAGCGCACGGCTCGTCTCCGTCTACTGCGACATGACGACGGCCGGCGGCGGCTGGACGGTGCTGCAGCGGCGCGCCGACCTCAGCGCGCACATCGACTTCTTCCGCGGCTGGGCCGAGTACCGGCGCGGCTTCGGCAACCATAGCGGCGAGTTCTGGCTGGGCAACGAGCTGATCCACCAGCTCACCTGGCAGCGCGACATCACGCTGCGCCTGGACATGGCCGACCTGGAGGGCAACCAGCGCTACGCCGAGTACAGCGGCTTCTCGGTGAGCCCGGAGACGGACCAGTATCGGCTCACGGTCGGCCCCTACTCGGGCACGGCCGGCGACGGCCTCAGCCGCGCCAACGGCGTCGGCTTCACCACGCGCGACGTCGACAACGACCAGTACACGGCTGGCAACTGCGCCGAGCTCTACAAGGGCGGCTGGTGGTACGACGCGTGTCACAACGCCAACCCGAACGGCCTCTACCTGCGCGGCCCGCACGGTAGCTACGCCGACGGCGTCAACTGGCGCTTCTGGCGCGGCTACCACTACTCACTGCCCAGCATAGAGATCAAGATGAGGCCCAGCGGCTTCCGGCTGCCGTGAGGCTCCCTCGGGCGGCCGCGCGGCACGGCGCCCACCCGTGTTGTGTTTTGTTGAAGTCGCTCCGGAGGGACGGGTCAGGGCTGACCTGCTGTGTGAGACGCCCCGTGAGGAGTGGTGACAGGGCGAGGGGGCGGAGACTACCTAGTCGACAGCAGGACGATGATGCGGGTTGGGTCACCGGTCAGGTGACAGCAAATCATGGAGAGAAAGGACTCCGAGATGTCCGAAATATAATTATCCTAGATAAGCTAAGCGACAGCATAGAAACATCATTTGACTTTCATCTGTACAAAATTTCTCCGAAGTTATTGGAGTGAGAGGGTTGAACTCATTGAACATATCGATGCCTGATGCATTATTGTATGCATAGGAGGATCAATACATTGTGTGTAAATGGGGTTAGCCCTTCTGAGTAGACGAAGTTTTGCTGTGCTGAACAGTGGCGCGGGAACCGGGGGGAGGGCTAGCGGGGGCTGAGCCCCCCCCCCCCAGCTTTTCGGCTGGGGGGGCTCGTAATGTATTTGAGCCCCCCCCCCCCCCCAGCTGGAGGAATCGAAATCGGAAATCTACCAACATAATTTCATAGATTCATACATAGGCGTGGGAACGGGGGAGGGGGCAGTGGGGGAAGCTTGCCCCCACAACTCTGCGGCAGTGGGGGCGGTGCCCCACAACGTTTCATGAGGCCAGGAACCGTTGGGCAGCTTGTCCTCCCCAAATTAGGGGTTGTGGGTCACAAAGGAAGAAAGCATGTAAGTGAAAATTCCACCTATTTCACTGGCTCGGCAACTCATTTGGCAGATTAAAACCTTTACTCCAGGCTGCCAAAACGGTAGTTTCTTCACTCAGCTGAGACGGAATACCTCACTTTTTGAAAATATTGTCGTGTTTTTTTTTTTTGTTGAAAAGGCCAAGGTCTGGAAAATAAGTGGCCTAAAACCGGTGAGAAAACTAGATTTGGGGGTACCCTAGGTTGATTTCTATTATGTTTCAGCCCCCCCCCCCCCAGTCTGGAAGAAGTTCCCGCGCCACTGGTGCTGAATGATGCTGTCATAACTCATAATGATGTGTTGTTAGGTAAAGGTGCTGCCAAGGAAGTTGTGTAGACACGACAAAGCAGAGACCACGACGACCTCGACGCCCGACGGTAAGAACTCAAAGAAGTACCTAGCATGCACTCGACGCTATGGTGGCACAGTGGTGGAGGGGTAGGCGGCGGGGCCGGGAAGGTGAGCAGGAGCAGTGGGGAGAGGAGCAGGGGCAGAGGGGCAAAGGCGGACCCTGGACAGAGACGGCGAGCCCAGAGGCGGACAGCGGACGGATACGGCGGGCTGGGGCGGACACTGGGCAGTGGACGGATACGGCGGGGCTGGGGCGGACAGTAGACGGATACGGCGGGGCTCGGGCGGACAGTGGACGGTGGACGGCGGGGCTGGGGCGGACACTGGGCAGTGGACGGAGACGGCGGGTTGGGGCGGACGGTGGACGGAGACGGCGGGGCTGGGGCGGACAGTGGGCGGATACGGCGCGGGCTGGGGCGGACACTGGGCAGTGGACGGAGACGGCGGGTTGGGGCGGACGGTGGACGGAGACGGCGGGGCTGGGGCGGACAGTGGGCGGATACGGCGGGGCCGGGGCGGACGGTGGCGAGGTCGGCCGCGGTGTCGGCTGTCGGCCGGGGTGACTGAGTGGCCCGGCAGGTCGGCACCGGGCGCCACCGCGGCGCCGCATTTCACCGGACCGCCGAGCATGCGGTCTGACGTCGGCGACAGCTTTCCGGCCGACTGGGCCCGCCGCCGCACCTGGGCACGGCTGGGAAGTCCGTCACTGCTGGCGCGGCCGGCCGGTGCGGCGTCCGGGACCGCAGCCGCTGCCCAGCCTGCTCCATCCGGGAGCGACTCCCTGACAGGTACTCGTGTGACGATCTCAGAACGGCAAGGGCGTCATCGCGTCGAAAACGAAAAATTGCGAACCATTCGTGAGAAATGAAAGAAAAATTTGTGATTTGGAAGTTGTATTATCAAATATCATCACACTAAGCTGCTAGAGCACGCGACCTCGGCTTCTTTATAAGAGTGACAGCAGTTGAGCGCTATAACTTGGCGCATTTTAGAGTGTTTCTTTAGCGCCAGAATGTTGCGTAAGCATCACACCTGCACGACATTACGTTTCCCGACTGAGACACCTTGTCCGGACCCAAAAAATTACCACACCCTTCTCTGAAACCATGCCACTCATGGTGCCTCAGCACCGGGTCGGCGCCGTCAGCCCGCTGTTATCGGGACGGGTGACGGCGCCATGATTCAGAGAGAGCGCGCCGTCTGTCCAGCGGTGGCCTGATTCGGACGGCGCGGCGCGGACGGCAACCCACCCCGCTGCTCCCGGCAGACCGGTCTGCTCCGGAGGGGAGGCCGAGCTCTGTCCCGTCCCAGCGGGCTCCGTGGTCGACGTGTGTAACTACATATACATACCATCAGTCAGCCGACACCGCTCATGTAACTTACCACAGCAGGTGACGGCGGACAGCGACCGCTGTCAGCGCAAACGAACAGCCGTCACCAGCAGACAGTTGTCACTGGGTGACATACCAGCTGACAGCGGTCACTGGGTGACACACCAGCAGACAGTGACACTCCAGCAGACAGTGGTCACTGGGTGACACACCAGCAGACAGTGGTTGGTCACTGGGTGACACACCAGCAGACAGTGACACTCCAGCAGACAGTGGTCACTGGGTGACACACCAGCAGACAGTGGTTGGTCACTGGGTGACACACCAGCAGACAGTGACACTCCAGCAGACAGTGGTCACTGGGTGACACACCAGCAGACAGTGGTTGGTCACTGGGTGACACACCAGCAGACAGTGTTCACTGGGTGACACACCAGCAGACAGTGGTCACTGGGTGACACACCCGCAGACAGTGGTCACTGGGTGACACACCAGCAGACAGTGGTTGGTCACTGGGTGACACACCCGCAGACAGTGGTCACTGGGTGACACACCAGCAGACAGTGGTTGGTCACTGGGTGACACACCAGCAGACAGTGACACACCCGCAGACAGTGGTCACTGAGTGACGCCAGCAGACAATGATGACACCAGCAGACAGTGGTGACACCAGCCAATAAAGGTAGCACCAGCAGACAAAGGTGGCACCAGCAGACAGTGGAAACGGCGGGTACACCAACACCAACAGCCGGTGGTCAGATAAGCAAATAGTAATCAACTGCCAAATAAGCAAATAAGCAAACAGTAGCTAATCGCCTGGCAACTCCAGCAGACAGAGGATCCAACGGGTTTCACCAGCAGATAATAGTAACATCAGGCTATACAAATACAGACAATGCTGACACCAGCAGACAGAGGTGTCAGTGGGCTCTACCTAGCTGATAATGGTGATGCCACGCTTGAAATTGGACATCCCCAGACAATTATCTCCGGCTATTACCAGCAGATAATGGTGACACCGCGGGCTACAAAAGCAGATGATGCTGACACCAGCAGACAGAGGTGTCAATGGGTTCCACCAAGCTGATGATGGTGATGCCAGCCACCGGGCTTCAAAGTTTAAAAGCAGACAATTGGACGTCAGCAGACAATTATCTCCGGGTGATACCAATAAACAATGCTGGATCCAGCGGCTATCGGTAGCACTAGCTAACAAAAATGTCTCAGACAATATCGACGTCAGCCCACACTGTTGACACACAGCTATAAATGACGGCACGGGACGACGCCATCGGGCGGACCTTTACGTCAGATCTCGCGGGCCGATGGGTAGCCGGTGTCAGTCCTCGGACCTCAGTCCTCCCCGCGGCAGTGGGTACGGTCGGATCCCGCCTCAGTCCTCCCCGGCCAGCCGGTAGCCGGTGTCGGCGCCGGGAACCACCAGCTGCAGCAGCTGCACGCTGACGCCGGCGACGCTGTGCTTGCGCCGCTCGCGCTGGGACGTCCCCAGCAGGCCCGGCTGGCCGTCCCTTGAGCCACGCCCCGCCGGCGTCCGCAGGCTCAACTTGGGGTCTCCACTGCGCAACGAACGTACATCGTTAGTTGGTGATCACACATAGAGTCAAACGTGTGGGTCTCGGTTCGACTGAGCTTACATAATGCTACAACCTCTGCTGCATCCAATTCCTACACACAAACAACTTCTACACAACAGTTCAGGCCTCAGCAGACATCCGCGAGCCTTAAAGGGACCCTCCCACCTTAACATTAGTTTTGAGTTGAGATAGCCAAGTTTGCGGCCAGGCTCAGAAACCACCATTTATCCTGGTCGCAACCCCCGCAGCTTTATGGTGTTCAAGAAATTTCTTCCCTTTACTTGCAGGGTGGGACCAGCGTGATCCCTATCTCTTAACCATTACGGGAATCTGATGACGTCATCAGGCTTTCGAACGTCCGTCATTAATTTGACTAAAACGTTTTGTAGCACGCGGTGGTATATGCTGCTTTGCGCGCAAAAAATGCCGCACTTTCAAATAAAGTCGCTAGGAACAGCGGAGATCCCAAAAAGTAAACAAAAGTAAAAGTCTAATATCTTGAAAACCGGTAAATATTTTTCGATGAAATTTGGTAGATATTCGTTTTTGCTCTTTCTGAACCGAGCGACATCACTTTCATGCCAATTCATTAACTTTTTTGAAGGTGGGAGGGTCCCTTTAAGCATAGAACTCCCAGCTACGTATTGCCATTACTTATGTTCCATTTTCTGGCTGTCATTTGTTTTGTCGTTCATATGTTACCACGGAATAGGCGATCCATCAGTCAGTCTGTCAACAACATACAGCACGACAAGAGATCGGCTCTCGACTATGGCCTTGATCACATCCTGCTGGCTGTCCCCGTTAGTCAATGGGCGGCTGCCAGCGCTGCAGTCAGACAATTCGGTCTTGTTTTATACTTCTGCTACCAATCAAATATTGTTTTATGGCTGCATATTACCTAAAAGACACGTCATGCAGAAGTTGTCTTTGGGGCACTACGCAATACTTTTCATTAAACTCGTTTTGTCTAGTTGATCGCTTGATTTTAACGATAAAAATAAATAACAAGTTTGATAGAGGGATAGGTATATGGATTTATAACAGACAACACTAACAGTCTACACCTTATGCATATACGTAAGCAGTACCGCTCAATACATAACAGATGTTTCGACAATTGTCCAAGATGGGTGAAACATAGTCATACGACCTGCACCTTGCAAAATAAGTCTAAAGCAATGAAACAGCGTACGGCTGCATGTCTACATTTCTTTCTCATTTAGACGTACCTTCGTTTGTGCCAGACCAGCATCAAGGCCGGAGTTGTGCAGCTTGTGAGAAAGCAAATCCAAACAAAAACCACGTAAATGATGTCGAAATAGTGTGAGTTGTTGTATGTCTCCGAGATGGCTTCCTTAGCAATTCTGAAATGGGAAGTGAAATAAATAGCATTCAGTAAGAGAAAGGTAAAATTATGTAAAAGCACGTAGATCACAACAAGATAGGAGTGTAAAATATGTAGTATGTATAAACAACGTTATTCGTCTTCCATTCTCAAATTTGAAATGAATTTATCATGCTCTTGTGTTTATGAAAGACCAATGACCACTTCTACATCAACTTCCCCTTCTCCTTTGCTTTAATCAAAGCTTGAAATACATTTACCGAAAACTATGCTCAATATAATTCATCTCCTAAGGTTTATGATTTATCGCCGTAAGATTCGGGTCCGTTTTCAGCCGGCCGTTTGGGCAGTTAGCGGAATGTTGCCGCCTGGGCGACAGCCGTCGTCTGTTCCGCCGAGCACCGGTGTCGTGCGGCACAGCCTATCTACCAAGTGATAATGATCGGCCCGCAGCCGGCTGACGTAATGAACGCGGCCGGCTGTATAGACTGTGTGTGACAAAGGAGGGTAACCAAATCCATTTGGAAAGATGAGAACGGTTGCGAATTATGTCGGTAACCAATGAGTGATGATTGCTGTGGTCTACAGTCATTGGGAATGGAAACGATTCGGTGCAGCGAATTGTGTCTCGGGTTGTTGAACTGATGTGTGTGGGAACTGCTCACAGTGTGACGCTCCTAATAACCCCAGAAGAAATCTTCCAAGTCACTTTCATGCTTCTGCTTGTCCTTATGCTCAGTACTCGCGACACAAGAATAATGAAGCTAAACGCGTCTTCGTTGAACTTAAACTAAGATCAGTGTTCACACATGCTAAGGCGTACCTTGTGACCGCATAGTTTCAACAGACGTTTAAATAATGTCACGACCGATGTGTGTGGCGGCGGTTCGGTGCGAACTGCGAGCCGCTGCGCCTGCTCACCTCAGCACCATCAGCGGGCAGAGGCAGAGGGCGTACGCCAGCGTGATGGCTAGCGTGTACTTGTGGGCGGCGGCCTCCGCGGCCAGGTCGAGGACGTGGCGGCGCGGTTCGCCCAGGCCGTCCGCCTCCTGGTCCGTCTCTCGTGACGCGTCCGTGACGTAACTGCACCTGCGGCACCGGACCGGACCCGACCGGACCGGCCTCGCCGTCAGCGCCGGCCGCCGCGGCCGGCTCCAGCGCGGCCAGTTGTATCTCATTTCAGAGCGATTTATGCCAAACTCGGGGGCACTTACGAGCGCGGGTTATGCAACCATTTGCGATGAATAACTCTCGTTTTCTTTCAACCGGTATGGAAAGCTCGTGCTATTCATAGTTATCTCTGTGAAGAAACAGCAAGTTTGTCTTCCCACCTCCCCGCACCCGCCTGCGGCGGTTCATTGTCAGCCCGTTCGCCAGTGACCCGCTGCCCTCCGTCCGCGGCCGGTCGGTCGGGCAGCTATAGCTCCCTGTTCAGCCCCACCTGTGCACGGTGCCGACGGTAGCGGCGCACGGCGGCTCGTCATCAGAGTGAGCCTGCAGACCGGAGCGGCGCTCCGCCAGTCCCTGCGATATGAACAGCTGGAGGAGACCCATCAGCAGCAGCGGCAGGATGTAGCTGCGAACGCCACCGACAGACACACATCTCATCACCCCACTGCAGGGAGCTCAATAAAACAGATCTGCTGCTGCAACACAGTGCAACCTACTCCCTATTTAGCGACCAGAAACTTTAACGATTCATAGATTTTGCACTTTGACCGTTGTAAGCATACGACTGATCCAATAAAACTACTCAAAACAAACGTTCTGCATTGACTACTAAATAAAAGGGCAACACTCTTTTTTATTCAGTCTCTGTCTATCTGTCTGTCCGTCCGTCCGTCTGTCGTCTGTCTGTCTATCTGTCTGTCTGTATGTCTGTCTGTCTATCTTCTCTGTCTGTCTGCTGTCTGTCTGTCTGTCTGTCTGTCTCTCTGTCTGTCTGTCTGTCTGTCTGTCTGTCTGTCTGTCTGTCTGACTGTCTGTCTGACCGTCTGTCTGTCTGTCTGTCTGTCTGTCTGTCTGTCTTTCTGTCTTTCTTTCTATCTTCCCCTTACTCTCTTTCTTCTTCTTTCTCTTCCTCTCTTATCTTTTGTCATTTTCTTTTTGTTTGTCTCTTATCAAGTATATTAATTATTATACGTAAACAAATGTACACTACATAGCGTTTGTCTCTCGAATCCATAATCATTTTCAATTTTCATGTCTTCTCTTTATGTTTTATACCGCAAGGAAAATGGGTTTGCCTGCAGCTTTTAGAACCGTTTAAAATAAGTTTGGATATAGACTAACATTATAATGCATTCATACCAGCCGTAAGAACTATCTAGATAATATTTACGACGGGCTATAAACGGAAACCTGTATTGCAATTGGAAAACCAAACAAGCATGTCTGAAAGCTCCCGACCACCACTGTATGTACCCAGGCATTGGGTTGTAGTTCGTTGAATACCGAAGTCAAAATGCAAATTACCAGCAAAGAGATGTAGTTATAAGCAATATCCTTGCATTGGAGTGCCTGCACGCACACGAGACGTGCCCATTGCTGCTGCATTGTCATTGTTTGGGGAACAGGTTTATGTCACACTGTCGGGAATTACTGCGGTCTGCAACTGGCCAGCAGACCGCAGAGTTGCTCCACCCGGCCGGGCCGGTGACCGGGTGGGACCTCATGGTCGGTGGCCGCGCGCAGTGGGTCGCTCAGGCCGAAACGGCGCCGGACTACTCACGTGGTGACAAACAGGACCTTGGTCAGCGGGCCGACCCCGCGGCCAACATTGACCATGCACAGGCCCACGCCGCGCAGGTCGCCGAAAAACAGCTGCCGGGAAAACACGGAATGCAGCTGTGACAAGGAGCGCCTGTGACACGATATGACGTATAAGCCTTGCCAAATGTGTGATCAAATAATTAAAGCATAAATACTATGTATATGAGGATATGATATGGACTCCATTGACGGTAAATACAAACAACACTAAATTTCACAGTGTGCATAAAACAGCGAAGTAATTAGACGGCAGACGGGTAGAGTTCTGAGTCACCAAGGTTTGATCGCGTGCCCCACCCCTATACGAGTATGTCCGGCGGTTTGATCTCGTGTCCCACCTCCCTGTCCGGAGATTTGATCCCGAGTCCCACTTCCCTATCCGGTGGTTTGACCGCGAGTCCCACCTCCATGTCCAGGTAGTCGGTGTAGATGAGGTAGGGCAGCGCGGCGCAGATGGAGACTAGCCACACGGCCAGCAGGCAAATTGGGCTGCTGGCCGGCCAGCGCCGCCGGCGCAGCAGTCGGCAGTACTGGCGCACCGTCATCAGCAGCAGCGTCAGCGTCATCAGCGTCAGCGGGATGTTCTGCCGGATAACGTCAGTCAGCGTCAGAGAGATGATACCACACAGAGCCGACCTCAGCGTCAGAACTCAGAGGGAGGTGCTGCTGCACAGGACAGGGCGTCCGTAGACCTGTCAGGACCTCGGAACAGAGTGCTCAGCACCGTGCTCAGCAGCTACCTAAGCTCATCAGTTATGTGTGTCTGGTGGATCGATGTGTAGCGTAGGTAGGATTCCGTCAGAGTGAGTGGGCGTCCCGCTCACCTGCATAATGGGCAGCATGTAGCACATGGTGCTGCCGAGCACCCAGTTCTGCAGCAGCAGCACGGTCAGCGTGAGCGGCAGCACCAGCAGACAGTTGGCCAGGCAGCCGGCCAGCAGGGTGAGCAGCGGCCCGCAGCCGGCCGGCGGCGGCGCGCCGCGCCGATAGATAGCTCTGGCGGCGGCCAGACAGGTGACGCTGCCGGCGGCGGCCACCACCGTGTAGGCGGCCACCACCGCCGGACAGAGGCGCGCGAACACGGGCCGCAGGCGCGGCTGGAGGAGCGCCGCGCCGCCGGCCGCCAGCTGGCCGCTCTGATGCAGCTCCTCCACCAGCCGCACCACGTGCGGCAGCCACATGTCCGGCAGCTGCTGCTGCTGCTGGCCCTGGCCGGCCGGCGGCTCGCTGGCGTTCGGCGCGCCGCCAGACATGGTGACCGGCCCCGGCGTCTGTCACGGCCGGGCCTCGGCTCAGAGATATAGGAGCTACGGGTAGCTGACAGCCCTACACCTGAAAATTGGCCGGTGGACGTAAATAGGCAGTGATGCACGTCACTTCTACAGTGTGATTGTGATTTGTGATTCGTTTCATGATAATCACAATATTATTCATTTACGTAGGAATTTATTTAGACAACAACTTCAGCAGCTTTGCTTTTCAGCGCGGCGAATCTGACGTGAAAACATACCGGAACTTGAGACGGACACAGCGCATTCGGGTGGACGCGTTTCGTCGGGAGAATGCAATCAATGTTTCCCGGATAACCCGTCATGAAAACGGCTCTGCCTGACTGCTTGTGACATTATTTTCTTAAACATTACTCAGGTCATTAATGATTTAACCCGCGCCAGGATGATATCCGGAGACTGATTGTCGCATATTGGGGGCTGCTTGCTTTAATACTCTCTAACTTGGCTCCTGAGCCAAGCCACGTAGTGAGTAATGACACACTTCACCGCGTGACGTTGACGTCTCGTTCGAAAGAGCGTTAACCCACGCCGGGCGGGGGGAGGTTGAACACCCCCCCCCCCCCTGCGGTTTTTCGTAGATATCTCACCGCTGTTTTTGGCACATCTGTTCATGCATATTTTCCACACATGTGAAAATTTCAGACCCAGTCTGCTCAAGGTCAGGTCACTAGGTAGGTCACGTCAAGTGCAGACCTCACCTCAGAACAAGTTAGAATCCTCGTCATAGCTGCACCGACCGAATGATCACCTGAAAGCTTTCAGCGATTGATAAGAGTAACAGTTCACGTATATGCAAAACAATTATCTCTGAATTTTGGTATCAGTGACCTAAGGGCAGGTCAATTTTGCGACCTCTCCATTAGGTAAGTCAAAGGGAGAAATCTGGAAGGCGCCTTTTTTTTTTGGACGAACGGCATTCCAAACAATCTCAAGCATCGTGTTATACGTGAAATCGACAAGCTGAACCGAAAAATGGCATCCGTGACCTCTCCCTATGCCCCTGAGGTCATATCAGGTCATGAAGACAAAAAATTCCCCAGCAGTTTTTTTACATGAATAACTTTTGGTAGAGACATGCTAGAGCGATGAAAACACCTCAGATGTGTTCAGCTCGACGATACGGATCGACCTGAGGTAACATTTTCAAAATAACCTTTCAAGGGTGAATTATAGTTAATTCGACGCGTCTCGACGAGAGGAACACGATGCTGACAAAATAAATGTCGTCAGTTTCTTGAATCCAAAATTATTGCACAAAAAACGTTCATAAAACGGTTATCTTTTAGTTGTTGCCCTCTGGAGGCTAAACCATTGACCTACATAGGTGAAATGTAAGGACATATTAGCGAAAGAGCTTTAAAAGAGCTATCGATTGCGCTTTTCCGCATAGCTCTATCGGTTCCCGACTTAGCCGTTGGCAGTTTCCAAAATTGTTGAAATGGACAAAATTTGACCTTTGATGACCTTCAGTGACCTGACCTTTCACCTGACCTAAAAAGTAGCCGAAATGTTTAGGTCATTTTTTACGCTCTTTCGCATACCGCTTACTGCGTGTCGCTACGTGGCCCATGAGCTGTGTTAGACGGGGGGGGGGGGGCAGACACCCCCGGCCCGGTGCGGGTTAAAAATCGCGGAGGAAGTTCTTTCATTATTAGTTCGCGGTTAGGTCCCATGTCATGTCACCTAAGGTCAGATTTTTTTTTTCATTTTGTTATCCTCGTACAAATTGGCCCGTTGCACGTGATTTATCAGAATTAGGATGCTACGGAAAACAGTAATTGCCCTTTTACATGGATTCTACGGTAGTGCCCTTAGCTTTGACCTAAGGACAACAGTTAAGTCTCAGAGGACAAAAAACGTTAAAAATTTACATTTTTCTTGAAAATGTTTCTCTAAAACAACTTTAGACTAAGCGCAAGCGCAACATTATTTTACGGCATGATGTTTCTGTCGTCGATAAAGGTCGAACGAATTGCACAGCATGACATGAAAAGTGTCTTTAACAAATCGGCAAAAGGTCCAGCTCATGACATGACCGTACACTGAAAAAAACTTACTCCCCATTTTCTAATTTTAGAATGCCAAAAAGCACTCCTGCAATCGAATAATTTTATGACCTGGCATAAGCGCTTAAAATGGGGAGTTTTGGGGAATAAAACTAGCATATAGAATATATTTAGTATCCGAACGCTTATAATATTCGCGCTAGGGAGTAATTTTATGACGGAGGATAAAAGTATGCTATCTTTGGATGAAATTACACCAGATGATAATTTTATTAACTTAATATTAAAATTACTCCCATTCGGGGAATAATATTGCCATGCCAAAAAGCACTCCTTTTTTCGATAATTTTACCCCGGAGTAACTCCCCGGTAAAATCAAGCCCCGGTGTAAAAGTACCACCCCTGATAATGCGGGGTGATGTGATAATATTATGACCAAGTGTAAAATAAGGAATGCATTTAAACAATGTATTGAAACACCAACAATTGATTAACGAATGGTACCTGAGCATCAGCAGGTACATCTTAATTTGAACGCACTTCCAGTGATGGCGCATTGCGGCCGACAGGGACGTAATTTTGCTTCCTAGTTGAGAAGCGGCGTCTCAACTGGGAGGCAAAACTTCGTCTCTGCCGGCCGCAATGCGAAATCACTGGAAGGACGTCCAAGGTCACATCTCACAAGGGCGTTATGGTTAACACTGAGGCTAACGAATAACATCTGCGCACAGAACCACCGCCACGGATGGCAGATAAAACGAGCGTGTAGTTAACACTGAGGCTAACTAATAACATCTGCGCACAGAACCACCGCCACGGATGGCAGATAAAACGAGCGTGTATGGTTAACACTGAGGCTAACGAATAACACCTGCGCACAGAACCACCGCCACGGATGGCATATAAAACGAGTGTGATCTGCAGGCTATGAAAGACGTACTGAGACTCATTGGCGTACTGAGACCGCCGCAGCTGAATTAGTCATAATACAGAGGTTCCAGTAGTGTGAGCCACACGTTCCGAGTCACTTGAGCCACAGGTGAGCCACAAGTCACGAGTCACTTGAACCACAGGTGAGCCACAAGTCACGAGTCACTTGAACCACAGGTGAGCCACAGGTCGCCAGTCATTCGAAGTGGCCATCTCCGATGCTGGTTCTACACTACCTGGGTAACCTCCCACACCTTCTGTGATAAGCCAGATAGGTTTACATCGAATCCCACACTCCGGTAAAGAATCTCGAACAGGGCCCTGCAGGGCCCCGTGAACTTTGTGTAGAAGACAGCGTGGGCGGCCGTCATTAGGGCCACGGTCTCCAACCTGGTGGCCGGCAGTTGGCAGACCACCACACCGTCCACCGATAGTTCCTCACCTGCCTGACGAACCCCGTTTCTCGGATCCGCCAAGGTGCCAATAGTTGTTCCACAACCATAGGCAAGTAGAGCTAGCAGCTCGTCGTCTGCCGTGAAAAAGAATATTGCAGTCAGTTGGCATCAATGCATATCGTACAAATAAACGTAAAGGAAACCTATTAGGAGAGAAACAAGGAACCGCGTTCGTACAGTAGCTGGCTATGCCATCTACAGTATCTGGAGACGATTCTTCGCTTCTTCCTGATTTCTTTTCATTCTCAAAATCGTAGTACGATGCGTAGTACGTTTGCGTAGTACGATACACTCTTACAACTAAACGTGGTGCATAATTACAAAATACTAGTAATTATACGTCGTTAAAATATTTCAGTGAAATAAGGAATTAGTACCCGATGTTCTGAGCTGTCATGGTTAAGTATGGAGTGCAAGTAGGTATCAAACTGCATGTAACTGTGGTATATTTGGAGACAATGAAGACAACCATGAATGGAGACAACCTGAATGGAGACAACCATGACTTTTCAATATCACTAGAGTTAAACAACACTTTTTGACTAATAGCAAAACCAACGACGATTGGCTGTCCAAAGGTGAGGTACAACATGTTGTCCCGCCCGTCGTTAAAGTGCCACCTTTTTACGGTTTTCGGCTTAAAACGGTTTTCAGTAGACCTGACCCACCTATGACCTACCCTGAAGTCCGTTTCCCGAAATTCGTCCTAGTTTTCGAGATATCCGCATTCGAACTTCACATTGATGCCATCACAAAAAGTGTGGGAGATGGGATTTTAACATGGTAATGTTACATTCCCATATTCCACACATTTGTGATGGCTTTAATCTGAAGTCCAATTGCGGATATCTTGAAAACTAGGCCAAATTTCGGGAAACAGACTTCAGGGTAGGTCATAGGTGGGTTAGGTCTAGTGAAAACCATTTTGTGTAAAAAAGGTGGCAGTCTTCCTTTAAGCCAAAAAAAATTATCACGAAAATAAACAGTTGTCCTGCCCTCTGCTATTAATGTATTACGCCATTGGGATATGTGAAACGTCATTTCTCCATCGTGCAGGAAGAAGCATGCGTGGGAAATACCTTCCTACACTTGGTCTTGGCTAATGTTTTGGCCTGACCTCGTATTTATCGAAAATACCTCGGGCCTAACTTTACATTCGCTAAAAAAAGAATCAGTCAGATCTAAACATTATTCCAGCCCTGGCCAGGAATATATTGTCTACGATGATCGGCTCGAGCCCAGTTATATAGAAGAAGAGTATCCCCCCCCCCTCCGGCACGATTGTTGCTAGCGGAACACCTCATCCGAAAAGGTGTGCTTGTGCCCGTTCAAAACTCACCGTCTTTGTCGGCCGGCTCCACGTTTATCATCGTCTGGGCATACTTCTTCGCGGTATGTCTGATTTTGTGCAGGACATGCTCCTTCACGTCCTCCTCGAGCCCCATGATCATTCCCAAGTCAGTCCACACCTGGAAACATCGCAAAATCACATTAATGA